AGCAACTTAATGGGTGGGAAAGATTTTCCGATGAACAGCTAGGAATTCTGTGTGCTTTTTCAATTTATAATTTTGCATCCTGTCCTTTAATAGTCAGAAACTAGAACACACCCTTATCTTTATGAAGGTAGCATGACAATAAAGCTCTAGGTTTTAATCTGGACCTGATCTGGATCACTGAAACACGTAACATGGTTTTATGGGCATGAAGCTTGGATATGGAATAAAAATGAAGCAATCTTAATACTAATACTCTTTGATATACACAACATGGAACATACAATATAATACTGAATACTAATTATTTATGGCAAAATATCATTATTTGAGAAATTAAAAAATCTTTCGTGTCAATAAGTCTAAAACATCTGTATATATGTGCTTCTCCAGTGACAGGTACAAGGTGTTTGTAGATTTATTTAATCTGTCAACATATCTGGTTCCCCGACACTGGATACCGAAGATGAACCCAATTATCCATAAGTTCCTTTACACAGCTGAATATTGTGACAGCTCTTACTTCAGCAGTGATGAATCAGATTAAAATCATCTGCAAAAAATTATGAAGAACATTGATTTCTCAGTCTGTGGTCTTTATTGTCTGTGAATTTTCATGACTATGCAGACTCCTAATGTAATATATGTTTATACATATATATAGCATATATAGCGCTGTAGCACTGATTCAATCCTAAAAATAATTTTATTACCTCATGTTTGTGATGATACCAGACTCAACAGTAAGAAATTCAGTTACATTGTAACATTGTACCTAGTGTTTTCCTATTAGAGACAATGTCCCTGTGTTTACCTTAATGTAACCATTTAATGTGATAATTTTCTGTTTCATACCTTAGAAGCTTGTAAACTTCAGCTATTTCAAATATTTTATGCAGTAAAATGTGTCATTCTGTACAAAGATGTGTTCAATCAAAAAGTTTTGTAAATAGTAAATAAACTTTAGTCTTTTGACATATACTGTTTTGGAGACATTGTTTGTGTTTGTCAGGACTCTTGGTGACCACGGACAGAAATCTATCGGAAACTGACCTGCAGGGGATTTATCGGGCAGTTTCTCCCGTAGCTCCCAGAAGTGAGAGAGGCTTGGGGAGCCTGGAGGCACCGGGATGGATCCAGCTCCTGGAGAACGCCATTCCTTAAACCTTGGAGGACCTGTCTCACCTCTGCTTCTCTGTCGGCGCTGGCCTCGCTCTGACCTGTGGGCACCAGCTCCATCCTCAGGCTGTGTTCCTCTTCCTGCACCTCTGGACTCCCCCCAGCCCCAAGGCACGTGTCTGGCAGCCAGAGCCCACCCTAGCGCACCGCAGAATTGAGGTAGCGGGGAGTGTTCTTTCCAGAGGAAAGGAGAGGTGAACAGAGGAAGCAATGACCCGGTTCATTTGGCATAAAATGGGTTAGATCAAGAGTTTAGATCACACAGGAGTTCCATTCTTCTTTTTCTAGCTCAGTCTGTTAATACCTAGTGAAATTCCTGTTATGAGGGGAGTACAAAATATCATCAAAGAAATCTGGAATGCGCAGCCAACTTGACCTAGGGTGCTTATCTACGGCAAGCAGTAGGTTCTTGATGGAAGTGAACTATTCTTTGGTCTCAATTACAATTTTCTTATAAGGATCGTATTGTCCAGTTTGTCTCTACATTATTTACATATACTTGCTTTTGCCTCCATGGCGTGTGTGTGTGTGTGTGTGTGTGTGTGTGTGTGTGCGCGCGCGCGCGCGCGCGCAGGTACAGGTACATGGTACGAGATGGTGGTTAAGCTGAAAAATCCAGAGACAAGTAACGTGGTCAATGACACTCCCTTTGAAATAAGCGCAGGTACAGTACATGGTACGAGATGGTGGTTAAGCTGAAAAATCCAGAGACAAGTAACGTGGTCAATGACACTCCCTTTGAAATAAGTCAGCAAGTTTGAGATCAAATGCATCTATTAATTATCTGCTTTGGTCCCAACAACCAGTTTAATCCCCAGTTTCCTCTCTATGTATTGGGGATAAAATACTTATAATCTTGGCTTTTTCTCATGAAGTGATGAAGAAATATGTTACTGGATTGTTCCGCCCATCAAGATGCCTTGGAATCCTGGAATAAATGCTATTTGTCAAGGCACATTCTTTTAATAGACTAAATGAATGATCTGATTTAGTTATTTTTATCTCTGTTTCTTGGTGTGACTAGGTTATATAGGTGTAGTTTTTTCAAATAATGTATCACTAATTCTAACGTAAATGTCGAAACCACTCATAATGCCAGTTAGTACTCTTGCCCCATTTAAACTTGCTTCTGGTGCCTACGACCCGCTTTCAATAATTCTTAAATGAATCATGAAATCGCTGTAAGGCTAATTTAGTATTTACTCTGAGATCCCAGTGAAATCACATCCAGGAACATCTTGGTTATTTTCATTACGACTCCTAATTATTAAGTGAAGATTTCATTGCTCTCCTCTTGGCCTCACGGGCGAACGTCCAGCAGCTGGTCAGCGCGGGAGCACAGCACACGCCCACGTGGAACAGCAGATGGTGAGGCTGAGAAGGCAGGAAGGGGCCTCTTTGGGAAAAGCTCATTTAGAAAAGTTGATATGTTATCTTTCAGGCACCGGGAGCCCCTGAATGGGCTAAAACAGAGGGGTAACATGAAAATGGTGTCTTGTAGAAATGTAAACCCTGGGGACACGGAGTAGATGGCTTATCAATCCGTCCATCACAAACACCTGGGGGCTGACGAAACCGTTTCCAAGTCCTCAGGTGGCTCCTGGTCTGGGGGCCGTACTCGAGAAGCCCCAGACTGAGGGACAAGGGGTCTGGTGGGTCGACTCCTGAGCAGTGGGGGTCAGAGATGCTAAAGAACATGCATCGAGTGAAGGATGGAGAAAGGAAATGGAGAGCAGTTGGGTGATCAGGTGATGGGTCCTCAGGTTTGGCTGACCTGATGGAGCATCTAAGATTTCCCTCAATTTTATTGATTGGGTTATTACATGATGCTAATGCTATTACCCAAAATAGAGACTCTAGGAGGTGTGGGAGTTTGCTGTTGTTTTTTAGGTTTTTCGTTGCTGTTGTTTTGTTTTGTTTTGAGGAGGGGAAGGGGATAGTTTGCAGACATGGAAGTTAAGATGTCTATGGAGAAAACCAAAAATTGAATACATGGGTTTGGAGCTGAGAAAACTCTTGTGTGAATGTAAACCACAGTAACACTGTGTTCACAAAATGTAAGCCATACACATGCACAGAGTCTCCTTAACCCAAAGTCAGACACAGGTTGTTTTATTACAAATGTTATCAAAATCCAGAAGAGCCGAGAGGTGTTCATCACTTTGTAATTCAAAAGGATATTTATCTTTGTAAAAGAGTACCGGAAAAGCATTCATATTTTACAGGAATTAGTACATTAACACAGACTAGAACAATCAAGACACAATTCCTTTTTGGCATAGTTGGATATTTAGAATATTAGTCAAATAGAATATCAATTTGTCATTTCTAAACCTGAGTCAACACATACTCTTTTGAAATTGCTTCTTGTTGGTGTAAGGAAAAGAAATAGTGTCTTGTTTTTGATTTTCTTCTAATAAGGAGAGTGATAAATAAAGGCCAACCGTGAGAGGAAAAATGGGATGTCTCAATTTTTTTCAGTGGTTATTGCCACCTCTACAATTCTGCTTTTAAGATAGTCTACGCTGGACCGCGACCGTGAATTTGAGAGAGGAGATACTTACTTGCGTAGTACTTGATACAACTTTGTCATTTAACTCACACAATAAGATTGTACTTATATTCAATCAAAGAGCAGCTTTCATGCTCTGAGGTTCTTACACGGCCAAGCATAATGACCCTGCGAAAGAGGAGATGGACCTCGAGGACCAGGGACCATGTGGAAAGCCAAAGGGATGCACAAAAAAGTAGTTAGGATGGAGTCTGGGAAAAATAAGCTGAAAACTGGGACAACAGAGGCTGGGAAACACATTTTGGCTGACACCCCAGATTAATGAGGTTGAACTTTGAAAGAGGTGGTGCGTCCAAATGATGGGCGGACAGACAGGTGAGGTCCTGATGCTGATAAAAGCTTAGAGACAACTGGAGCCAAATAAATGGCCCTAAATTGAAATGGAAAGTAAACAATGAGACTTCTTTCGCCAGGGAAGCCGCACCACCAGGAGGATTTAGAAGTTTCACGGCCAAGAGTAAGAGAAAGAGTGAGAAAATGTGGGAAGATGCACCGCTCCTCAATCCGCAAGAACAGAGGAGATAAAACGTCCTGGAACCCTCCGGACCGTGAAACCCCCAAGTAACTTGTCTCCCAGGCAAGGCTACTTGAGATTTTCCTATCACTTGGTTGCCATATTGGTCACTTAGTTTCAATCAGGCTAACCATCTGCCTTAAAAAGTAACTTTGTCTTTTTGCTTCTTTGTACACGATCTGTGCAGGTCACGGGTCAGCACCATGTGCTGGGGAAGACCAATTGGCCTTTCAAAATTCTTATGAAATTCCATCCTGGAGGGCTGGGAACGCAACTGGGAGGGGCACACCTAGTTCTCGGCTGGCTATTCTTGTATGCAGGGCAGCTTGGGCTGGTGATTTTATCCCATAAAGGAAAAGGGATTCTTATCACCTCTTTAATCCTACTGGAAATACGTCATCAAAAATAAAGAAACGGCAAACAGAAACAATAATCAAACCAACCAGATAATAGCCTTTTCAGAGTGAAGAGACCGAAAATACCTCCTAATCTGACCGTCCTCCCAGTAGGAAACTGTCCCACAGACCATGGTGCTGGTTTTCTTCCTTCTGACCTTGTGCATCTGTCTCTAGGAAGAGAACATTCTACAACTTATCAATAGTTTCAGCAGGGCCAGGCCCTAGAGCCTGTCTTTTGTGGGTAGTTGCAAAAGCCTAAAGGTGAAAATGCCAAGAATGAAGTTTCACATCTCATCATGAGCCTTCGGTTTTGTATCTGTCTCTTGATCTGGCGAACATATCACACGAATACAGCAGAAACAGATTCTGCAATACCTGAGAAAAAGGAAACAATCAGTACTACTCTATTTCCTCCTTATATGCCTTCTAAATAGCAAATTAAAACAATTTTCATTTGGGTTCGGAAAGAGTTAATATCTACTAAGAAAATCACTCACTGGTGATAGCTACTTGTCCATAGCAACACGGCAACCTCAAACGCAGATATTAGAAGAGATAGCTAATATTTTTATTTCAAGAAACTATCAAAAATCCCCAAACGACTTAGGAACTGAACAGGTGAATGTATCTGAAATCTGTATCGCACTCATACATATTGCTTAGAGGCAATACGATAATTTATGGGATTATTTTAAACACAATTTGAAAATTTTAATTCTAAGATTTGAACTTCAGCAACATTTCAATAAATCACCAGCGTGCTCTGCGGACGCAGATCAGAATGTCACGGCGGAAGTGATCAAACATCCTATTTGAAGACTGGATTCCTCTGTGATTAGCTGCGTCTTTGAAATCTCTTGGGTCCACGGAATGCTACCCGCCTTCCGCAGCTGGTCGTGAGAGTAATGTGACCGTCTCAGGGATGTAACTTTCAGGAAATACTCCCTTTCAGAAAGGATCTGGATTCCTGTATAATGACGAACCAGGCAGGCCTTGGAGACTTAAACTGGGAAACGGGTACAGGGGAAAGATGATCTCGACTCACCCTTTGTAGCTGGGGGCTGGGAAGAGGTGAGGGTGCAGGGTCCTAATCAAGGTGATGCTGAACCAGCATCCGGATCACGTCCTTGCAGCAACCCTGCCAGGGCTGTGAAAGCAGCCGCCCCTCAGCCCAGATGCAGGCCCCTCACTCCGCAGCTGGGGATAAACTGTGGGGGCAGCAGGGCTTCCAGGAGTGGCAGTGGCCCTTTATCTGCAGAGCCCCAGTGAAGCTGAAAGCAGAGGCCTGGCAGGGGTGCTCGCGCTCTGGCTGAAAAGCTTCTGTGAGGCTGACTCTTGTTAATAAATAATTTATGAAAAGTTGTTTACTGGGGTGAATGAACAGGCCATTTATTAAACTACACGGATGCTGCTCTGTGGAACGACTGAGCTGTCGTCGCTAGACTGAATCAAAATGTAAGCTCTCAAATTTTTCCATAACTCTTTTTTTTTTTTT